ACTTTATTTACTTTGAGCAAGTGAACGTCATGTTCACCAGATAATTAATCCAGCAGATAATTCAGAGGTCTGTTCAGTAAATTTTACTCCAGGAGCTGCGAGGCTTGTTTTCAAGCTTCAGACTGAACTGAAGCAGCAGCTGCTGACGTCATTACGCTCTTGTGATGCTGCGTTCAGGACAAGCATGGAAAACTCACCACTCTTATGCCAATACAGTCGCAATGATGCATTTAGGTACTGAAATGGAATTGCATGAACATTCACGTGGTGGTTATGTAATACAGAGAATTGATAATAAAAAATCTGTGTCGACAAATTTACATAATCGACGTCATCGATTATTTCAACTAATTGATGCAGCCCTAGTTTTCCTGGACCAGTTCTTCTGTGTTTGTCTGTGTCTCTTTCCTGTCCTCCAAGCAGCCGGTCGAGGCAGATGGTCTCCTGTCCTGAGCCTGGTTCTGCTGGAGGTTTCTTCCTGATTAGCAGGGAGWTTTTCCTCTCCACCGTTTGCTCAGGATGGGAGACTGTGATGAAGTGATTCAACACAATCTGCTGCTTTCTTCTTTACATTGTTCTTTTTATGTACAGTGTCCTGAGACAACATATGTTGGGACTTGGCGCTATATAAATAAACTGAATTGAAATTGAAATGAGGCATTTTGAAAACAAAACAATGAACAAAACCCACTGACCCAGGTAATTACATGATCGCCCACCTTTTTATGGAAGTGAGAAACAAATCTATTTGTGGTTGTGATGCACTCACCAGTATCCTGCTGCAGAACCCAACATTTGAGCTCTATGACAGAGTGAGCAAAGGAGCAGCTGTCCTCACGCTGGCAGCCGTAGCGAACTTCATGGCGGCAAATGTCAAACTGGCAGAGGGGGTGCAGCGGTCGTACCTTACTGTACCGCACATTAGCTGACCTCACCACATGGACTAGGCACCTACAGACAAGAGTTAGAGTTAGTGTTGAAGAAAAAATCACATCTTTTGAAGTGGAGTTCTGTGAAATGGCTATGAACAGTACTATCCTACTGGCTGAAGATAGCTTTGTGAGCTTTTCTTTCATTAAACGAGGGGTACCAACCTTTTTGTCCATGGGCGTATACTGTACTTTAAAATTATAGAATTTACTTAACCCCCTGAGGTCGAAGACATGATGCATTTAAAGGGCTTCTGTTATAAATATGACAGCATGTTGAGCATTCATTTCTACTGGGTTGGATAGTACCGACTTCAAACTCAATAAATTGTTTTTTAATTGAAAAAGTTTTTATTTACTTCCAAATAAAACAAGATTTATGATAATTTTCGTCATCATTTTGTGCACGTTTTTACGCATCGCTGCACATTCAGTGAACGTTTTGTGACCAGAAAGTGACTGATTGCAACATGACACCAATATTTTTGGATTTTTTTTTTTAAACGCACCACATTTCCAGCAGCCAATCAAAAACATTTCTCAGAAAAAACTTGAGGAAAGCGAGCAGGAGCCACCCGGGAGGAGAAAGTTTTGGAGAGACAAAGAGGACCGAGCGTAGTGGACATTTTGGATACCAGATTTAGCTAGCACTGTTTTTGGTTTGCTTGTGTAAGTGTGTTAAGAGTGTGTGAGTTTGTGTGTAGTGTGTATAATCGTTTTGTTAGTCTGTCTGTCTTTCAACATGAATCGTGGTTAGATGACGGCAGATCAAGCTCTGGTGTACTTTTATAAGCTTCGAGAGGAGGAGGAGGAGGAGGATGATGGCGGCGTGCACGGAGATGAATCGGACACGGAGTTCGATTTTGAAGATGAGGTTTGTCTTTTTTTTGTTTATGTGGCATTGAACATATACTGTACAATAAAAATATTCAGAGTAGAGTGGCACTGCACAAGATTATACAAGCTAATTTACATCTGCAGGTGGATGAGCTGTCAGTTTTTTTCTGTGAAGAGGAGGAGGAGGAGGAGGAGGAGGTGATGCTGGTGGCGTTGCAGACCCGCTCTGTCCGGGTGAGGTCCACATCAAATGTGCAGGACTACTGGAGACAAAATCATTTTTTGTACATACAGTTGCAATACAGCTATATTTCAATTTGCACTTTAAATTAATTTTTGTAGTTTAATTTTAAACATTTTGAATGTATTTTAAAGAAACTTTAAACTTGTTAAAAGGCTGTTGTTACTGTTATTGTTTGTCACTAATATGAAGAGCAGCTTCTGGTTGTAAA